CTCCTCTGTGTCTCTCCTCATCACCGTAGTGCCATTTTGGAGAATATCCGCTGAACGTAAACTGCGTATGCTATTCTGTGTCAGCCGCGACACAAGGATACGTGGGGGGGGCTCAATTTTTTCAGATTAATGCAGATTTTGCACACAAACAGCTCTTAAAGAGTCCCGTTTTTATGTAGTCTGTTGATTTTTGTTCATGATATTCAGCTCCAATAAATGGTTTGCAAAAAAGGGTAAGACACAGGATAAATGTTTGATATCCTTATTTAATGCATGGTTCTGCTCTAAGCATGTAAGTTACAAGTTTGTGAAAGGACTTCCAGTGCCAGGTAAATGTAAAGCAGATTATGAATATACTTAAGATTCACAAATACCAAAACAACGTGTCTATACCAGACGCGAGCGGCGCGATGTGACAAAAGCAAATAGAATCCAGTGATGTTCTCTGCTGTGGATGCGGCACGACGCGATGCGGCAAATCCATGACAGTAAACTGATGCCGCGTTCTATTTCTGAGGAACCCCAGCGCTCTGACACAAAAAACAATTTCAAATATTCATAAAAGAATCGTGAAAAAATTGTTTCCTCAAAAATATTAAGCAGCACAAATGTTTACAACATTGATAATAATCAGAAGTGTTTACTGAGCAGCAAATCAGCATATTAGAATGATTTCTGAAGGGTCATATGACACTGAAGACTGGAGTAATGATGCTAAAAATTCGTCTTTGATCACAGGAATACAGTAGTCTATATGTTAAAACATTCAAGACAGCACTTTTTAAAACTAAATTTCAATATCGTGATAATACCGCATACCGTGATAAAAGCATTAGCAATTAATTGCAACATGAAAATTTGATACCGGCATATCCCTAGTTCTTTTATGAATCTTTGCAAATCGCCTTTCCTAATTACGTGCTAGTTAGCAAGTTACATGGCTAAAGTACACAGTCTCATGAGAACGGCTCATCACCCCAACTGAAGAGAGGGGTGGGGTAAACAGAGCTCATTAGCATTTAAAGGAACATGCACTAAAACGGGTTGCTGAAAACAGAGCTGATTTTGACAAGGTAAAAAGGGTGTTGTTTTACACTACCATTGAGAAATTTTAACCAAAGTATGTTATAGACTTTTCATTAAGACCCTAAAGAATCATATCAACTTGTGGGAAATGGGCATCCGATGACCCCTTTAAGGATTCTTTGAATAGAAAGTTCAAAAGAATATAATTTAAATAACAGAACATTTAAAACATTGCTAAGCCATTGTTGTCAAAAACAAGAAAAGTGGATGCAAGTATCGTTCTCTTTTGAAGCCATACGTACTCTATATTTGTGAGATTGAAAATGTGGCAAGTTTGAAAAATGCAACTGCAAACGAAATATGAGAAGCATTGTGGAGGGAAAGATTTTCAGTAAATAACGTCTTTAATTACACGTCTGTTACCCACACATGGCTATCATATGACTTCAGGAGACTTAGACAAGTTATGTGGCCGCCTTCTATGATACTCTCATTCTGCTTTTTTTTTCCCGGTCCCTTTTGTGTGTTTGCATATGTGTATGTGAAGAAAAAAAAACAATACGGGCTCAAACTGACATGAGGGTGAGTAAATGATGACAAAACTTTGGTTTCCATGTGAACTATCCCTTTAATGATTCAAAATGGATCGACTTTGTGTATTCTTAGAAATAATGCTCTCACTCATTTTTCTTTTCGTTTTCTTCCTTCCTGTGTCACTGTCTGTTTCTTTCCCTTTTTTCCCTCTCTCTCTGGTTGCCAAGAGAGAGTGAGTGGGTGTGTATTTGCGGGGATAGTTGTTAGAGCGATGAGGAGGTCTTCCTTGTATTTTGTTGTCATGGCAACTTTGGCCACTTGATATCCCATACACGTGGGGTTGAAGCACCCCATCTCCTGATACTTCACATGCTCATGCACGCACTCATTTCTTTGAGTGCTCTCACAACACATCCATGTATTAAGCCGCCTTGTCTGGGCAACATGCACACACACAGTGTTAAGTAATTTGCAAAGAGGTGTAAATCTGGAAGCTTATGTGTGAATACACATAATTCCACGGCATTTAACATGAGCATGCATTACATAATGTGTATCGTGTTGCAGGTTAAGAATGTGTTCAAACATTTGAAAGTCTATTGGTTACAAGTAGGGCTGGGTATCGTTTAAACATTTTCGATACCGATACTGATACCTTGACTTCAATACCGGTTCCTGAACGATACTTTTTTCGATACCAATTTTATGAAATCAATTTTAACAAGAAAACTTTGGTTTCATTTTTCAGCTTGTTGTTTGTACAGACTAGGGGTAGAACAACTTCTGATTTTTTAAAGTCGACTTTTATGTGATGAAAGTCGAGTCGAAGTCGACTAGTCGCTGATGACGTCATTAATGAACAAATAAGTCTGGAGCTGTGACAAACACCTTGTGTACAGCTATGGCATATGACACAGCGCTGCCCACATGGCTATTGCTTGTATAACCAGCTAATTTTTATCAGTTCTTTTGTCGTTGGGTCGTTATATTTCTCACAGATTTCTGCTCGTTCTAAATCAAATACAGATAAAGTAGCACAGTAAAGATTACATTTATATGAATACATTAGTGTGAGCGATTGCGTGTGTGAATTAATTCTACCTGGCAGCATTTCTCTACTATTAGTGAAGCTGTGGGATTTAGTTAAGAAATATATGCTTGAACTTTACTGCACGTTGACGTGGACAATGACGCAGAAGTATAAATGAAAACTGACGCATAGCCTACGGCGTAAAGGCTACGGCGTAGGTCCGACGCAGAAGTATAAATCAGCCTTAAATCAGCCTTGAGCGCGTGTGCGTTAGATATAGTGAAGACGTGCGTTAGTTTAGAACTCTTCTAATTTTTTTTTTTTTTATTGTAGATGTAAATATGATTTTTTTATATATTAGAATGAGTACATTACAATATAAATTTATTAGAATGAGTACATTATTGTTTATGGGCTTAAAAACAAGATGCAAACAATCAGAATATTGTACCTGGTGGGGAGTGCACAATGTAAACATGAAACATATGCCATTACCTATACTGTACTGTGGTACAGTTTTGGAGGCCCTTCATAATGCAGAGGTCAACTGCCTGCTCTGCCGATAGTTAGAAATGGCACTATAGTGAGCAGTGTTTAATAAACAGCTGTTTTTCTCAATTCTGCTAAGATGAAATTCAGTGCAGTCATGTATTGTGATACGCATCGTATCGTGGCCTCTGTATCGTGATACGTATCGTATCGTGACTTTGCTGGTCAAAAGTGGAAAGCCTTGATCAAAAATTTACATTTACACACAAACTGACCAGCGACCGCAACTTTCAGACGCCATATTTATTTATTTTTTTAGCTTAACTGTCACAGAATGGAATGCACAGGATTGTGGGATATCAAAGGCAGCGAAGGATACATCTGTGCTGCCTTCAAAAATCGGCCAGATGAAGGCATCTCAGGAGACAGGAACTGAAGCTAACATTGAATTCGGACGTGCCTTAATGCCTTCCTACCTTGGAATGCGTCTTCCGAAAGCAGCATTTTTCAGTTTTCAGATGCAGCCTATGTGTGTGCTTTGCAGTGCAGCAGCGTATTAGATTAGAACGGCAATTAACTTACCTATACAATAAGCTGTTTAAAACGTGCATTCTCCCGTTCAATTTCGAGCATCCAGTTATATAATCACACGTCTTGTGGAGCGCTTTCAGAGTATGCATTTATTTGTCATTTTAACTGTTTGGAAACGGAGCGAATGTTGGAAGTCCTTATCCTAAGATTTCTTATCCTACGAAATCCTTATCCTAAGTCCTAAGATTTCTTATCCTGTTGCGCCCTCTATAGGACCAGCGACTAGTTGACGTCAAGCTTAAAGCGTCATGGCAGAGAATTGAAGTCGATTAGTCGGTGCAACCCCTAATACAGATTCAAAGACTCATCTCCTGAGCCACTGCACAAAGGAACAAAATGTAACCAACACAATAAATCAGTGCAAATAGTTTTAATAAAGCTCAAATAGTCTTCAGTTTACACATCTGTTAGGCTACATTTACACTAGTGCGTGTTCGTTTTAAAACGCATAGCTCAGACAGAATCATCATTTCTATTCATTTTCCACTGATTTACTGATGAGCATTAGCAGCTTCCAGCGCTGTCTGCCTGTGTTCTCTCTTCCATGATCACTGCTCTGACTCCGAGGTAATAACATTTTTAATTTCAGCAACATTACATTGCCAAAACACACATTAGACGGCAATCGGAAGTTATTACAAATACTCAAAGGTGGTTTAACGTGTGTTTTGAGTAAAAGCGGAATATAAATCTTATTTATTGGCTTATGTAGCATGATGCTACAGTGTGCATGAATGGTCACGTAACACGCACTTTCGTTCGTGTAGTATGAACGGACATCTGCATATGATCGGAACTCCACGCAGCTCCTGCGCTACTCTCCATTGGAATTGAATGACTTCCGAATGGCAAGATGTTTTTCGATACTCAATGGTATCGAGGCAATTCTGTCGGTGCCTAAAAAGTATCGAACTCGATACCCAGCCCTAGTTACAGGCAGAACTTCTTATTAAGATCCTAAAATTGAGCGTGTATGCGAGAGAAAGATTATTGCTAGTTTTACACCAAAGAGTTAATGGACTGATGGATTGTAACAGCGCCATGAGAAAGGAGGAGGAGGAGTGTGTGCAGACCTGCAGGGCTCCTGAGAGTCGTGCTAGTGCACTCAGCTGTGATTGTACACACATAATTGCTATCTCCTGAAACTGGTACAGCCTGTAGGACAGGCCTTTGACTGACCTTACCGAATATTTAACACGCCCACACAGTTACTGAAGGGCACATGTGAGATTTGGAGACTGAATTTGATCGTTAACGTTGTCTGTGAGTCTACGGCTCTAAGAATTTGAACAGTCATTAACTCTCTCTCTGTCTTTCTCTCTCTCCGCAGCTCCTCCCCCCAGCAGATTTAACCGGAGAGTGTCGGGTGAGTTCTGTTTGACGTCATTGCACTAATCATGTGGTTTAAAGTGTGTGCGTGTGTCAGTTAAGTGCTCTGCCTTTCCGTCATTTCCCCTCGTGTTTGTTTTATAGTAATTACGTTGCTGGTATGCCCACTCATTCTGCCCCTTTCAGTTGTGTTCCAGTGAAAAAATCCCCTCTTTCAACATACACATTCCTTTAATGTGGGATTTTTAGAGTCCCACGTCATCATATGAAGGAATCTACATATGCTACCTGTAAAGACATGTTTAACGCAGCGAGAAGAATACTCTTTTTCATAGTTGAACATCCTGCCTGTAGTTTTTAGTTAAAATATCTATTTATTTGTTTGTTTTTAACAAATTAAAGTTGTTTCTCCTTTTCTGCAAAGTACGTACACTAGCATTAAAAAGTTTGGGGTCGCTAAGATTTTTAGAAAGACGTCTCTTATGCTCACCAAGGCTGCATTTGTTTGATCAAATTATAAAATGTAAATTATTCCTGTGATGCAAAAGCTGGATTTTCAGCAGCCATTACTTCAGTCTTTAGTGTCCCGTGATCCTTCAGAAATCATACTAATATGTTGATTTGGTGCTTGAGAAACATTTATTATTATTATTATCATTGTGGAAAACAGTTGTGCTGCTTAATATTTTTGTAAAAACTGTTATACATTGTATTTCAGTATTCTTGATGAATAGTAAGTTCAAAAGAATGGCATTTATTTTAAAAAGGAAGCTTTTGTAACACTAAGTGCCTTTACTGTCACTTTTGATCCATTTAATGCCTCCTTGATGTATAAAAATATTTGTATTACTGACCCCATACCTTTGAACGTATGTGTAACAAATAAAATAAAAATTAATGAAGGCTTGCCATTATTTTCTTTTTAAGCTGTTTTATTTATTGCAAAAAGCCAATTAAAAAAAAAATACAAAATACAAGAAAATGTTTTATTACACCATGCTTTCTATGTCCCTTGAACAATATAAATATTTTGTACTTCATATTTTGGAGTCTCTGTCATTAAAAAGTTTGAAACCCAAGTTTGAAAAAGTTTTTCACTTGCATGCGGCTTTGTTTATGACTTTTGTCAAGTAAATAGTCATTTATTTGTATAGTGTGTGCGGAGGCCTTTAACCCTGATGATGATGAGGAAGACTCTGAGCCGAGAGTTGTCCATCCAAAAACAGATGATCAGCGTTGTAGATTACAGGAGGCCTGCAAGGACATTCTGCTGTTCAAGGCTCTTGATCAGGTACACACACTCACACACACAGATATGAGGGCTATAATACTGTAAACGGTTGTATCACTCCTGGACTCATTGCAGGCCAGTCAGTCAGGTTTGGTTTGCATGTGCGACTGATCACACGTGCCTTACTTAAACTGCCACTGTCAGTTCATCATGTTAGAGGAACATATTGTTTATTTAACGTACTGTTACTTGAACTGATTTGCATTGTTTATTTTCTGCTGATGTCATGTAGCACGTATAAGTTGTACTCTGGTCAGTGGATAATAAATGTTCGATGAAGTATTTGAAGGTTAACCAGAGCGTGTAATCGGGTTTCCAAAATGGGAATATTTGCATTGCTTTGAATTTGTAACACTTGCAGATAAGAATGTTATTGTATGTTATGTAATATTATGATATTGCTATGATAGCAATTCTTCCCCTTAAAAACTTCTGTAATAAATTCACAATCTTCAGCCATAAATATCAGGAAAATGACCCGTGTTAGTTTTGTGAAAGTACTTTTTTCCTGTCTGTCAAAGGACTTTCTCACATTCATTCTGCACTATTTTTTAAATGTTAGTCTATGTTCACATGCATGTGAACATCAATGCTGTTTTTTCCCCTCTTGTTCATTCAGCATCTTGCACCATGAGTGTTGAGTTTTTAAGATGGCGTGTCAAGATTAAAAGAATGTTGAAACCACTCTGTTCCATTCTGCTGCACTCTATCTAGCAGTCGTGTGAACCCTAAGAAACGTGCCTGTTTTTAAAAAAAATATGTCCAGTAGTTTTGTATATCCCTACAGTGGATGCTAAATATGTACTGTATGATCCAGAAATGCATTTCCTTCATCAGACTCTTTGTCTCTTTCTGGTATAGGAGCAGTTTTCAGAGGTGCTGGACGCCATGTTTGAGGTTCTTGTGCAGCCACAAGATCACGTCATTGATCAGGGAGATGATGGAGATAACTTTTATGTAATTGAGAGGTATGTATTTTTATAAACCGTTCTGCCAGTGTGTCTGTGATACTCTTGTACAGAAGGGCTGGTTTATGAGAGTTTAACAATTTTGCATATATCTTTGATTATTTTAAAACTGATTAATCTCTCAGTTGTTTCCTGTTTCAGATTTTGAAAATTACGCTTTTTAATTCCCGCATTTCATGTAAGAATTATGCATGTTTTGCCTAATGCTCTATTTCTAACAATAAATGCATTTACTGCTACAGGATACTTTGTTACTGTTTCTTTATAAAAAATATTTTTACTTGCACTACATACTGTAAGCACTTTGTAATTGTTTGTTTAAATTGTTTAAATGTTTAAATTAAAAGCTACAGTAACTATTACTGTTCAGTGACTTGCTGTTAGGAGAGTTTGTTTTTCAAATTGGCAACATTTACATTATTTTGAATTTATAACACCTGCAGATTTGAATTTGACAATAGTATTATGCTAATCTTACATTATAGCAGTAATGTGATACCCTCTGTCCAGATGAAAAGCACCTCTTAACCGCATGGAGCTGCACTTCACCTGGCACCCTGGCCATGCAAAACTATATATGGTTATAACCTTCTCTGAAGTGGGACTTTTTCACTACTGTAAAGTGGTGAATGTTTATTGTGCACAGACACAGTTATTTGATATTGCCATTCAGTTATTTGCATTAGTGATTTTATTGATTATAGCAGCTGTAATCATGATGTGACTCAATTTGAATTCAATAAAGGAACTGAGATGTTTCGGGAAGCAATTTATGTGAATTCCTATTCATTGTTTATCACAAACCATAACAGTATTCCTCATATTGATTGTCAATACCTATAGGTCAGGATATCTGAATGAAGTGTAGTAGCTACATAATCACTACCACAACCGTAACTGAATATATGTTTGTTGTGTATTTGCAGGGGTGTGTATGATATTGTGGTACAGAAGGATGGTGTGGGCTGCTGTGTGGGTCAGTATAATAATAAGGGCAGTTTTGGAGAACTGGCCCTCATGTACAACACTCCACGTGCTGCAACCATCATTGCTAAAGAGGAGGGAGCCCTCTGGGGACTGGTGAGTGCTGAGAGAGCAAGTGAGCTGACAGCAAACCCTGTTGACTTAGTGTTCTGTAACAGCACCATCTTGTGGACATGTGGTTGAAACACTGAATGACTGCAGCTTCACTTTCACAAAGCAGCAATTTCATTGTACATGCAACAAATATGAAGACTGAAAGTGTGTCACAAGAATAATTGCAGTATGTCTGCTTCAGGATCGGGCAACGTTCCGAAGACTCGTAGTGAAGAACAATGCGAAGAAGAGAAGGATGTATGAATGCTTTATCGAGTCTGTCCCACTACTCAAATCGCTAGAGGTGAGAAAATTATTGTACATTTATTATTTTGCCAAACATGTTTTTAGTGTTTCTGTGAAAGAGTGTCAGGTAACACTGAAGAAAAACCTTAGAATGATGAGACCTGAAGAGATGCATATTAGACCACTAACGAAATGATCATATACTTACCCATCTTTATATCTCATAGATTTCTGAGCGGATGAAGATTGTTGATGTGCTGGGTGTAAAATCATTTCAGGATGGAGAGCGGATCATTATGCAGGTGAACTTTACAGTTGCCCTAAAAAGTAGTTCTTGGAAGTGTATGAATGTCATTGGCCATCAACATAGTGTTATTTATTTTAAAGACTACACATTTCAAACAAAAGGTAGGTTTCAAAGGTAAAATAATAGGTATGCCATTCAAAATTATGACAAAGTATTGTGACACTGTCTGGTTGTCAAATGTTAACAGAACATTTTCCAAGTTATTGTGACAACCGCCATCTTTTGTTATTCTGCTAGAACACCTGTCAGAATTAATAATTAATAACTAATTTGAATTTTATACAGTACTCTCACATAAAGCAATATATGGACATAGCAAATGTCTGAATCATTCAGAACAAATTTAAATCATTGTTTATATATATATTTATATAAATGTAAATTATCCCCCAGCCCTGAACTATTAAATGTGGACTTAAGCATTAATATTAACATTATGATTTTCTGTAAAGCTGCTTTGAAACAAAAAGAAAAAAAATGTGCTTAGCAAAATAAAAATGATTTCATTCATCTACTAAAAATCACCAGAAATTTTATTTTGAAAAATGCCATATATTGTGCATTGTATTATCTAATGCCATTGTTCATGTATCTCTATACATATAAGATGCATTTAGTTTGAGTCGGTGGATGGTGCTATTGAGAATCTTGCTATCCTCTGTTTAGCTGTCACACACTTGAGCAGCTACAGCGTGTCTGAAAGAACCAACAGACACACGGCAGCTGCACTTATAGCACTGTAATAATAGAGCAGAAATGAAGATCAGGACTCTGACTGATGCTATTGTATGATTAATCATTACTATTATGGGCTGCTCTATAACCAGGGCGATAAGGCTGATTGCTTCTACGTTGTGGAGTCTGGAGAGGTGAAGATTATGATGAAGAGCAAAGTGAGTTCCTTTATCTTTCTTTGTCTCTTGCATTGTGTTAAATTACACCTTTTAAACTCCTTTAATGTGCTGAAAAAAGTTCAGATGTTCCTTTTCAGATTTTTATTTTTTATTCAGTTAAATACTTTCAGTCCCAGATTAAAATGTAGATACAGCCATACATAGACTGTTTCTCCTCAACAAGGGGAAGTCGTGGCCTAATGGTTAGAGAGTTGGACTCGTAACCCAAAGGTTGCGGGTTCGAGTCTCGTACCGGCAGGGATTGTAGGTGGGGGGAGTGAATGTACAGCGCTCTCCCACCTTCAATACCACGACTGAGGTGCCCTTGAGCAAGGCACCGAACCCCCAACTGCTCCCCGGGCGCCGCAGCATAAATGGCTGCCCACTGCTCCGGGTGTGTGTTCACGGTGTGTGTGTGTTCACTGCTGTGTGTGTGCACTTTGGATGGGTTAAATGCAGAGCACTAATTCCAAGTATGGGTCACCACTTTTTCACAATCTTTGAATCACTTTGAATGAGTTTAGTTTATGTTTAGGATGGGACTATATGTTTGGCATCCAATTATTTTTGCATAAAGTTCAATTTTTAATTTTGCCCCAAATTTAAATGTTCTCTCAGACAAAAGCAGACAGACAGGATAACGCTGAGGTGGAGATCGCTCGCTGCAGTAGAGGGCAGTATTTCGGAGAACTTGCTCTCGTTACTAATAAACCGCGTGCTGCCTCAGCCTATGCTATAGGGGACATCAAATGCTTGGGTAAGTTTCTCTGAGTCCATCTGACTTACATTTTTGCATTGAAATGTGCGCCGTGTGCTCCATTAATGTCATATGACTGATGTTTGTGTTTCAGTGATCGACATACAAGCCTTCGAGCGTTTGCTGGGGCCCTGCAAAGAGATCATGAAGAGGAATATCGCCCACTATGAGGAGCAGCTGGTGGCTCTGTTTGGATCCAGTGTGGACCTGAGGGACTGAGACAGACTGGCCGTGCCTTTCACACACACACACACACACACACACTATACAACACGACACATAGGTTATACACTCCCAAAACATTTTGTAGGCACACATTCCTTTTTATGTGCACTCATTCTTCAGCCAACACACTCACTCTTTCAAATCATACCTCACACACACACACACACACACGCCTGATGTCATTGCGTCAGCTGCTCAGTACGAAATAGAAACATTACCAGCTCAACTGCTGTGACCCTGAACCAACCACAGCCTGGAAAGGACATACGCGCACACACACAAACACACACATTCACTTACACCAAAAATTCCCAGCCAAGGACCCATCCTTTCTCATGGTCACTTGCAGTCACAACAAAGAAAAGAGAAAAAGAGACAAGATAAAAGAATATATGTTTAAACAAGAAAAAAGTTGATATCTTTCAATAAAAAAATTCAAAAAATCGTAAAAATTTAACATTTTAGAGCATTTTATGATAATGCAAAGCTTTGATAAACTTGTTTAAATATGACCTGTTTCCTTTCCCTGCTGTTGATGCATAAAAGTTTTTGGTGGTATCCACAGTGACAGATTTTTCTCACTTAAAACTCCACATGTTGTATTGATTAATGTATTACTATTATTATCATTATTATTATTATTACATATTATTTTTGTTGAAGGTTGACCCGCTGTTACACCACCCCCTAATTGGAGGATGCGAGGCCGAATCTAGTGCAAATTTTCCCTTTAGTCTTTCTGAATGAGTCGTCCTGAAAAATAAAGCAGACATTTTGGTAACCTGCTGGGACTCTTATGTTGCGTGTGCGTGTGCGTGTGCGTGTGCGTGTGTGTGTGTGTGTGTGTGTTGGAAGGTGCAGTCTGTAATTACAGGAACAGTGCCATTTAAATGTCAGGAATTAGTTTTGTGTTTGTAATCTTTTGAATGGAGACACCAGTGTTTTGGAATGGAGTGTTATTTTTTCCCCCCCTTTAGGGCGTTAGTTGGCTATTAGTTGGTTATCATCATTGAGGGTTGGCTAGTTTCAGCATTTACTGATTGTACTTTTAATAAACTTTGGATAAATCAGTGTGTTTGCTTTTATTTGGGGATTTAGTTTTTCTTTAGGGAGGGGGTGTGGGGTGTAGTGTTCTGAAACATGGTCATTAATTCTTTGATGCAAGATGTCTACTAAAAATTCAGTCTACAGATTGCATTTAATGACAAAACTGGTCATGGGCCAGGCATTTTGGATATTTTTGGGTACACTATTCTTTTATTGCATTTGGGGGGAAATTAAATTTTGTTATTGTTTTCAAGTAAACAGTCAAGCTTTTCCATTTTGATTTTATAATTTTTGAATCATTATTCAGACTGAGTATAGCTAAAGTTCACATCACCCTACTGTCACCAGAGCCTATGAGACATGTGAACTAGACATGAAAATGATGTGACCCTGGACCACAAAACCAGTCATAAGTGTCAAATAAATTTACAAAATATCTTCATGGAACATGATCTTTACTTAATATCCTAATGATTTTTGGCATAAAAGAAAAATCGATAATTTTGACCCATACAATGTATTTTTGGCTATTGCTACAAATATAGCTGTGCGACTTAAGACTGGTTTTGTGGTCCAGGGTCACATTTGTCATGTAAATTCATCTTTGCAGTCCTGGCTATTGGTAACATTTGGTAATAAAAACTAGTTCTGAGATTCTTCTGGAGGTTTGAGAAGAGTACACTCTAAATGGCAGTATTGACGCCATACATTGTAGTTGTTATGTCAATGAAAAAATGTTGAAAGAAATGTACCTTTATTGGTTATCATTTACTTTTCCCCACAATTACCTGAGGGTAAAACATTAAATTGTGTTTTCGTTTTTTGAAACTTCTTGCCAGCTCTGAGACACTTTGCTTGGCAGTCCTGTCCTTTTCTTAGCAAAATTCACTGTCACAATTCATTTTGAATTTCTGTAGTACTTTTGATACCGTGTTCACAAACACCTATTTGGTTTTTAAAGTGGTTCCATTGTGTTCAGCATTAAGAATGATTAAATGGGATATATGCAACATTTGTAGTAAAATTAAATGGTTTGGTTCAACATACCTGTTGATCAAAAAATGCCTTTAGATATTTTTTATGTAGTTAACACTTGTAACACTTCTGGCTCAACACTTATGTGAAAATCTAATTGTCCTCATTTTTTTGGTAATTGATCAACCTTGCCTGAACTTTACATCGACAAGGAAGCATGCTATGTATTCTATGTAAGGAGAAATGACTAAATTCGTTTCAGATGGGGTGTAGGCCTCCTTATTTATGCTAAAGTCACACAAGCCACTGCTAAATTATATCATTTCTAAAACTTCTGGAACAACTGTAGTTATTTTCATAATGTATCAGCATTCCTGAGAAAGATTTATTTGTTAGTTTATTTGGTGTGTGTGTGTGATATTTTTAATTGTTAGCTTATGTAAGTCTTTGAATGTTGCATTACATCTTACTGTTTTTCCAGCATCTCACACCATTAGCATGAAGTGTTTAAATCAAGACAACACAAGAATCATTCAGTTTCAGCTGAGTTTGTTATGTCAGTAAATGGCATTTAATGTACAGCATTTTGCAAGCCATCATGGCATAATATGTTCTTTATTTTAAATATGTATTTGATTTCTGTCATATGGTTTATCATATAAGGTTTATAGCAGGTGTTAACAGTGATTAACAAGCGTTAATTGTGAAGGGCGGGGTCTGGTGGGGATGCTATAAACCATTTAAACTAAGTTGATTAGTGAGAATATAACCACCTCGCCCATCGTTTGTCAATCACTGAGTCACACCCCCCACCACACAACACACAACACACTACACCACATCAATCATTTATGACTCCACACGGCCCCCCTGCTTACCCACAGCCCAGCAGGGGGGCCAAGTACCACCGACTTCACGTGCTTTCTTATACCCAGAGGTATTCACATGAAACCGAGGCACAACGGAGCGCAGAGAAGCAGTCTCCCACCAAGAAACGTGTCAGTTATCCCGCCGCGAGGAGAACAGAGCGCGAGAGACAATTCCGCGGGTATATACTGCTACGTCAGAGTCATTTAGAACGCGTCTTTTAAATGCTTAAAAAAATGTTATGACGTCACACAATGAAGACATTACGAAAGGCAAATATTCAGGGATCTTTTTTCATATTTAGGATTTTTAATGTCTGCGTAATACGTAATTTAATTTAAAATTTTGAAAATACGTCACAAAAGTATTTAGTTTTTAAAAATGTTTATGTAAAGTGTGAAATAAATAATTTTTTTGTAATGTAGGGGTTGCTTCAACTTTTTTGAGCTATTCAGTGAAAAAAAAATCTTTTTATTAAACTGACTTAAATTGACGTCATCACTGTTATTTGTGACCCACAAAACCAGTTATAAGGTTCTTTTTTTATTATTGAGATTTATACATCATCTGAGAGCTGAATAAATAAGTTTTCCATTGCTATGTGGTTTTTTAGGACAGGACAATATTTGGCCGAGATACAACTATTTGAAAATCTGGAATCTGAGGGTGCAAAACAAAAAAAAATCTAAATATTGAGAAAATCGCCTTTAAAGTTGTCCAAATTAAGTCCTTAGCAATGCATATTACTAATCAAAAATTAAGTTTGGATAAATTTACGGTAAGAAAAAAATATCTTAGGAACAAAATTTGTTCATGGAACATGATCTTTACTTAATATCCTAATGATTTTTGGGCATGATAGAAAATTCGATCATTTAGACCCATACAATGTATTGTTGGCTATTGCTACAAATATACCCATGCTATTTATGATAACAATTATGGTGTTGTGGTCCAGGGTCACATGGCAGCGGAGAATATCTAGGCTTACAGTATTTACAGAATGTACTTGATTATGTGCTCATGTAGGCTGGTGTAAGCATGCCCAGCAGGCGGCAGTAAATCGACTCGCGCTGTTCCATCTGCTTCACTCGAAGAAGAAGGAGATTCAAAAGACAGCTGCTGTGACAGCGATAAAGTTTTCAGCATGTAGGTATCACAGATAAGAACTCATATAAACTAAATCCAAAATAAACTGCATGTGTGTCTTACACGTATTTGAACGGGAATCGTAACTGCTTGCTGTGTTTGTTCTTTTATCTGATCACTTCTCTGACTTGCGGTGTGTCGTATTGTGCTCGAGTGTTGCGGCATGCTGTTATTATTGTTTTAAACATACACATCTTTAGTAATTCGCTTTATAAACACGATATGATAGTTCATAAGCTATTACTATATTTAGAAATGTTGAATTAGACTCTGTTTAGTACCCGTTAGAGAGTGGCGTGGCCTTTAGCGAATGAATGGCTGAAACATTTGAGTTTTACTTGAGCCAGAGACAATGTGTATTTCTGTGATCAGTCTGGATGAAACAAATGTATCACAAAATTCTACTTAAATCCAGAGCTCAACTGATCTGAAAAAAACAAAACAAAATGGCCATTAAATCCATTAATTCCATGAAGTTAAATGACAGTGCTCTGAATAGTAATGTGTCTCTCCATACTAGGGCCTGCAAACATTTATATCGCATTCGCAACCTTCTCAAAAACCCACACACTTCCCATCAGCATTTCACACTTGGCTTGGTAAAGTCATGAAAGCTGTTTCCTCTCATCACTGATCGAAAACCAGCCTTTCCAGACCAAAATAACAGTACTTAATACAAGGGAATGGGCTAAACTGAACCCAGGCCAGTGTTAAAGGAAGCTTAAAAAGAGAACACTTAAAAGTCTCTTGTTTCCTGATTTTGACCCTTAGTTGCACATGACACACAATTTTGAAACATTAACTGGCAGTTCTGTCTCTGTGAGCGCTGCAGGTGAGGCTGGTTATTTTATTTGCAATTTTTTTTTTTTTAGTATTTACAGTTTGGTAGATTCGTGTTTTTTATTTATAACGGATTATGGTTATGGTTTATGTTGGCACACTAAATCTGGGTTTGCATCCTTTAGTCCAGCCATGGTTCTGTGTTTGATTTTTATCAAGGAAACTATCATTTATTTACATATTATGTTTATGCATTTAGCAAATCCTTTTATTTAAAGTGATTTACAAAAGAGGAAGCCAACATATTCAGTTCCGGGGTTTATTAGAAAACTATATTAGAAAGCAAGCTAGACAAGTGGAGAAATGCATGTAATTTTTATATGTGTGGTTCTGTTCATAAATTAAAGTGTCTTAACCAGTGATAAATCACTATACTGATAACCTTGTCCACTTGGTCAACTACCATTGCTTCCTTTTGTGTACTAATCTATCGACATTCTTGTGAATTGCAAAATGAAATGTAAAGTATCGTGTAAAATGAAAGTTTGTTTCAGCGATTTTCTGTGGATCTCATTTGCAGTCTTTAACACCTGTATTAAATTTTATTTAAGCATATTGGCCATTGCCCATCTTGCTCTATAGGTGCATTGAAAAAAAAACATATCAGATGACTACTAGACTTAAAGGGATATTTCAACCAAAAAATTACAGTTCTATCATCATTTACCCACACCCAAACCTGTGTGACTTACTTTCTCCTGTGGGACATAAAAGAAGATATTTTGCAAAATATTTCAGAGTTGTTTCCTATACAATGTATACATTCCATACAAAATATATTCTTTTAAGTTTTACAGAAGAAAAAGGCATAGGCTTGAAGCAACATGAGGGTGATTATTTGATGATGGATTTTGTTTATTTTTGTTCGAACTATCTCTTTAAGGTTCGTGCTCCATTCACTTGCATTCACACATACACGGGAAAAGCGAAGTAAATGCAAAGATGTTTTAAGCTAGAGAGTGACTAAGCATGTCTAAACTGAACTTATGTATATTTTTATATATTTATGTCTTCGGTCATCTTATTTTCTAAACTACATTTCACATTAGCATGAAGTCCATGTGATATAGCAGGAATCACACATTCACACCACAGCTTCCTCTGCTATTTTAACTTCAACAGATAAAAAAATGTTTTATATATTATATGTGCTATGAGAAGAAAAACTACTCACGAAATAGGCTGTTGCTGTA